CCAACTCCTTTTATGATGTAGAGGTTTGAAAAAGAATTCCAAGGATGCAGAAGCAGGTGGTCAGAGTGCTGTTGTGAAAAAGGGAAGAAGTCAGGGAGGAAAACAACATCTCCATCTTCTCATTTCATCTGTCTACAGTGTCCTGATGCTGATTTTTATTTTTATTTTTTTTTACTCATATACTTTTTATTGAGAAGTATCAGTGTATGTTTTGGAAAAACATGTCTTCTTGCAAATTAACTGTTTTCATTTTGTAATCTAAGGGAGAATAAAAAACATGAAGATGATTAGAATGCCTGTATAATTTTCTTATATTTTTAAGGTAGTGCCTGGGCTGAAGTGGGAGTACATGGAAAACATGCTGCGATTAATTACGGCAGTGTAACTGTGTGCTTGGTGTGCAGCATGCAGTGTCTAAAATATGGAATTTCATCTCTCCCATTTTGGATATCTAGATGGAGCAATAAAGTGACATTGCTGGTGTTTTATGTGTTTCTGGAAGGGGGTGGTGCAGTTACAGCAGAGCTCCCCAAAACCCACTGTTTGCAAATATAGTTATGCTTTGATTCACTGAAGGGGAAACGAAGACTTGAAGAACATGATGATAAAATTGGGATCAAAGGACAATGAAAAATCAAGTCAAATGCATAGGGACATCTTGTTCAAACAAACAGCACAAGGAGAAATATGTCTTTAACAGAAAAGAAAACACAGAATTTGTGGGACATGCCAAGAATCCCTACAGCCTTTAATGTTCTGATTTTACTGTAGAAGGTTGGGTTTTTTAAAGATTTAAAGGTTCCATTAGAAGAAACGAGGGAAGATAACAGAAGATGTGGAGAAGACTCTTTGATGATGACCTTCTTTTTCAAAACAAAACAAAACTCAGTTTCTCAAAAAGGTTGTGAAATTGGATTTATACGTTATGTGCCCTCCTTTTTCCCAGTGAAGCTGGTGTTTTATTCTCACAATATATACCCAAGCAGATAGGAAAAAAAAAAAGCCCAGAAGAGGGTTTTGAAGTTATAAATAATAATAATTGAAATAATTGTAACAATAAACAATAACAATTATATTTCTATAATGTGCTAGGATGCTCAACTGCATCATCAGCAGGAGGGATAAGCCTTGCTGGCCCTCAGAATCAGAAAATGGGGCAAGCAGGGTCTCACAGTATGACTGAGAGTGTGCACTGCTAGTCCCCCTTCTGAGGACCTTTCCCCCCCTTAAGGGTAATGTGGCTGTGGTGGGATGCTGGGTGTACTCCTCTGCTGATAATCACAGTGATTATATGGAAGTGGTACTGAGGGAAAAGAAAGCTTTTTTCTCTTGAGCTCAGAGCCCTCCCAGCACAATCTGACAAGAAGGAATGGAAATAGGAGGGGAAGAGAACTACCATTAAAAGTGACTCAGTAGAGAGAAATGCCATGGGAGCCTGGAGGCTAATGTGAGTTTACATTATCAACCTGGGGAGAAAGTGTTCCTGTGCAGAGAGCAGAACTGTTGCAGCACCTCTGCTAGGGCTGGTGTAGGTAGGAGCAGTTGCTGCTGTTTTGTGTTAACTTTAGCTTTGGTTATATTCATGTTGAAAAGCATAAATAAGTACTGCTTTTCTTGCACAAAATAGAATTCTGATAGTAGGAAAAAAAAAACAACCAAATGATTTTTTTTTTTTTCTCAGTGGAAAATTCACTTTTACATTAAAAATAATCCTAGAAAGTTAGATTCTAGACATATTTTTGGATGAAAACTAGAGTCTCTACGTTTTGTTTTGAGGAATAAAGAAATCAAAGTTACCTGCAGAATGTGAGCAATAGTGGCTGATGCAGCTGCCAAGCTTCTCTCCATTGTATTTGAGAAGTCATGGCTGTCAGGTGAAGTCTTTGGTGATTGGAGAAAGGGAAACATCACTCTTATTTTTTAAAAAGGGAAAAAGGAAGATCAGGGACACTACAGGCTGGTGACCTCACTTCTGTGCCTAGAAAGATCATAGACTGGATCCTCCTGGAAGTGATGCTAAGATAGAAACAGGATAAGCAGGTGTACAGACTGAGATAACTCCTTGAGGCCAGGCTTGTGGAGAAAGACTCTGGGGCTTGAGTGAATGAAAAGCTTAATGTGAGCCAACAGTATGCGCTTGCAGCCCAAAAGGCCAACAGCATCAAAATAGGGGTAACAGCAGGGAAAGTAATTGTCCTCTTCTACTCTGCCCTCATGAGGCTTCATCTGGAGTACTGCATGCAAGCTGGCGACCCCCATCCCAAGATGGATATGAAACTACTGGAGCAGGTCCAGAGGAGGACCATGAAGGTTATCAAAGGACTGGTGCACCTCTCCTACAAAGAAAAGTTGAAGGAGCTCAAGGCTTTTTCAGTCTAGAGAAGAAAAGGCTACAGGGAGTCCTCACTGTGGTCTTCCATGCATAAAAAGAGTTTATAAACAAGAGAGAAACTGACTTTTCATGCAGTATGATAGTGATAGGACAAGGGGGAATGGTTTTAAACTAAAAGAGGGGAAATTTAGATTAGATACTGTGAGGAATTTTTTTATTCAGAGAACTGTCAGGCCCTGGCACTGCTGCCCAGAGAGATTAGGGATCCCCCATCTCTGGAGATACTCAAGGATGAGTTGGATGGGGCCCTGGCTAGCCCAGTTCTGTGGGTGGCATGGAAGGGAAGGGATCTTAAAGATCTGGATTTTAAAGACCTAGTCTTTAAGATCCCTCCCAACCCAAGACATTCTATGGTTCTATGATTCTATGATACTTACTGTTTCACATCAAAATCAATTCTGAGAAAAGGTAACTATCAAGATGTCCCATACACCAGTCACCTCCTCAGGATCCCTGCTGCTTTTCTGGCTTGAGAGTTTTCCCAGTAAATTTCCCATACAATTGCAGACCGATGTGGAAACTGTGGAGAGCAGCTTCGGACTATTTACTAATAGTGTGAGATTCTCAGAAGGGTGTTCCCAGAGATTAAGTCTTCTCAAAACAGCTGTATGTAAGATAAATTAAACCTTTAATCCTTTTCTGTGCGAAGACTGCAGGTGGCTGAGCACTGCATGTTCCTCAATAGCACTCCAGTAATTTTTCTGCTGAACATTGTTGTTCAAGCACCAACTGCAGTAAGTCACATCCTTATAGCTCCTCCCTCATTACCAGGCGCTGAAAGGAATTAGTCCTAGAGATTCTCCCCCTTCCAGTCATTTCATTCTATTTTGGTCTTCCAGCCTGTCTCTTGTGATGACCAATTCCAATAGAGAAATAACAATATAATGTTTCAAAAGCCACTTAAGAAATGTGTAAGATGGCTAAGCAATATGTCTTAGACTGGCTGGTGATGGGAATTTCTGTTGGCAGTCTAGGAGGCTCATTTTTATGTGTGACCAATGGGCACAGCAGAAGAGATAGCTGGGTAGTCAGGTCTTTTCCTATGCCCATGTTTGACTTCCCCTTTCTTATGTTGTTCTTTCCACTGGGATTCTATTTCAGGATCCCAAGCAGGCATCAGCTTCTCACCTGAGGTGAGAAAAAGTGTGGAGAAGAAACTAAATCTAATCTCCCAAAAGCACAAGTAAAATCCAGCTCAATTTTTTTTTTTTCCCCTCATAAAAATATATATATATATTTACAGTCGTTTACATTACAAAACAAGATTTATATTTATGCATTGGCTTGGAAAATCCTTCACGGGTTTCTGGCAGATTTCATGGAAAATATTGTTTCAGTGTCTGTCAGAGGTTACTGCTCAAAGAAAGATCTGTCTGTGTCATCCCCCATCAGGAAATTTCATGGGAAACCTGTTTGGAAAATTGTGCTTTCCTTTCAGTTCTCCATGCTGGTCACCAACTATTGTGTATTTTTAAAGCATATAGGAAGGATTGCTTTGGATACACTGCAATAAGTTTTAAATAAGCAGCCACCAAAACGAATCAGACCACTGCAGTTTCTTCAGCTCTGCTTCACAAACTGGAAAGATTTTCATCTGCTTCTCAGTGATGGTTTATGGTCTCATGGGCATGTTGCAAGATTGTTTCATAGGTGTGAGACTTGATTGGGCATTGGCAGGCCAAGACAAGGCTTGGTAAAGACCCAATGGTTTTCTAAAACAGACCTCCATCTTTATTGAGAACCAACACAAAAATATTACATTCAAGTTATTTTTAAGGTTCCAAGTGAAAATGTACACTGAAAGTATATAAACTGAAGCACATTGAAAGTAAGACAAACCTTAGAAAAACAATTATTTATTATCAGATGGTAAATAGAATATGGAAAATTTTCTACAATTTCCTTTTCCCTTAACCTTTCTCTTGGTAATGCATGATCCAATTGTGCATTTATTGCATTGACTTATTGAAGAGGATGAGCCCTAAGAGATCTTCTTATTGATGTTCAAATGCCAGAGGTCACCAATTTATTTCAATAATTCTGTTTCGTTTGCAACATCAGAAAACACTTCTGGAGATCAGGTATAAAAAGGGCTTGAGGTCTGGCATGGAAAGTGAAATGCGACCAATGTCAAATGCACCTGCATTTTAACCAGTACTTCAAGAGAATATTACAGGGAATAGGCTGGAAACTCAGTCTCAGATCAGTTCAGAGAGAAGCTGGCAGGAAATGTCGACTATATAGAAGAATCAGAGACCACTCAAAATCCTCTCATTTGTTGGTTTATGCTACACTGTGTACTGTAGTTTAAAACAAAACAAAACAAAACAAAAAAAACAGTTGAATTGTTATTCCATTCTTACTGTTCATTTTTTTTTTCTTCCTCCACCAAACATGGTCCCAGCAACAGCAAACAATTTGTGAAATGAACATAAATAACAGCTGCAAATAGTAGGACCAGGAATGCCCATCCCTGGAGATGTCCAGAGCTCAAATGGAAACAGCTCCAGCAACATGCTCAGGGGACTCTGTGCTTTGAGGTCTCTTCCATACTCAGTTTTTTGATCCTCTCTCTCAGAGCCATTGATGCACAACTAAATCACAGGTTGCTTGCGCTAGACGGCTTTTGTACCTGCTATAAAGTCTGAAAATTAAGAAAAAGAAAGAGTGATCAGCAAAATTGGCAGTTCTAGTGGTAGAGCAGATAACCAGTGCTAGAGAACAGAATGTTGAATTTTGAGATTCAGATCTGAGGTTCCCAAAACAAATGCTATCTGTGCAGGTCAAAAATTTCATGGTGCTGCTGAGGGAAAAGCTAAGTCTATACCAAAGGCACCAAGGGCTCACCAACATATTCTGCCCTGCGATTCCCTTCAGACCTTCCTAGTACCAGCACCCATGCCCTGGGCTGGCTGTGGTATCTGACCATAAATTTGCTGCTGTGAGACCAGGGCCTGAAGGATCCACTCAGTAGTACTGAGCACAAAAACTACATTCAAGCTAAAATATATATTTTATTTCCTAAAAAGCATTGAATTAGCATCTCCTACCACAGCTACTCATAACAGCTCCTAAGATTTGCATAATATTACAGCTATTTTAAAGTAGATGCATCTGCCTGCTGGCAACAGTGAGTGAATTGTCACGACAAATGCCCAAGGAAAGGACGTGAATTGGAGTGCCTCCAGAGAAATTATGTGCTGCTCAGCCATCCCTGTTCACACACCTATGGTAATGGAGGACAACATAGTGTTCAAAATCAAATCAGCCATAAACCTGTTGCATACTAAAAGGTTGATTTACTGTCTTGGGTACCTGCTTCTAAATAAGAGAGAATTTAACAGGAAGATTCTTGGTTTCCGTGCATTTATGCAAGCCTGTGAAACCTCCCAATGATTGATCTTTGTGATATTGTATATACAGACACAAGATAAGCTTCTATTCCTGGACAACTGGAATTTTCAAGGTTTGCCTAAGTGAGGAACAAAAAAGATGCATTACCAGTGATGTGACTGTGCAAGCTTTTTATTCATAAATCTGTATATATAATCTACAGCAATTTTCTGGCTTGACAGTAGGGCTTAAAAAGCTCGGGACTCTGAGGGAAGTCTTCTGCATGTTCTTAACACATGGAGGAAAAAAATGGAGTCTGAAAATTCCTCCCTTTGGTGATACTTTGCAAATGCACACACGGTAAGCTAAGGAGTTAGGGTAACTACATAATGCAAGGTATTAATTTCCTAAAAATAAAACTAGTTTTAAAATGTTATCTTTGCTCAGAATTCATCTTCTTTTTCAGAGGGCAGTAGTGAGAAGGTAGTGAGAAGGTATATATATATATATATACATATATACATTTATTTATATATATATATACATTTATATTATATATATATTTATATTTCCAGTAGTGCTCTCTGTAAAGAATTCAAATACTTGCAATCACCTCTTGGATGAGCAAACAGGTATGGGCATCTGACGGCATTAAGGTATGGGCATCTGATGGCATTATCATCCTTTGCTGCGCAAATACAGCTAAACGGGAGCAGTGGTATCTATCTGTATCAAGCAGAACAAGCAAGTGAGCATGAAAAGTAAATTTTTACTTTTTTCTTCTTCAATTAATATCTTAATAAACTATTTTTGAGGAGGAGAACAGGATTAAACTTCATGTAAGATGTCAACTCCAGCCACTTAAAAATCTTAGTAGCCTTACTTTAGAAATAAATGACATGCTCTGCATAAAAACTATGGCTCTATAAACCTACACTGGACTTAGGGCCTCATCCTGAACAGGATGGTTTTTTCCTCATTCACTTCTTGCACAGATTTATCAGCACTGATGAGGAAACCAGTGGGACAATGTGGCATCCAACCTGAGTAAAGGTGCAAAATCTGATTGGTACCCTTCCCCTCAAACATGATTTTTTGTGAAAGGTGCAATTTGGTTGAAGTCAGAACTGCATCAAGTCCATACAAAAAAAATGTTGTATCAAAAACAGAAAAGGCCTTTGCTACCTATAGCTAATTTGAACTTAGAACTGCTGGGCAGCTCTTTCACACCAAATATCTTGCCATATATTTTTTACCATTGTCTTCAGCTGCTTCAGAAGCTCATGCAGTTCTTGCCAAACTAACAAGCCCACAGGACATGCTGGCAATGTGTATTGCTAAAGGATGGTGTGGCTGAGGTTACAATGAGTGATGGAGAAACATTCATCAGGTAATGACTGGGAGTGAATGTATTCTCCCTCAGTCCCACATGCCAGAAATCTGTTCCAAATTAGATTTTGTGGAATTCTCAGGCAAATGAAGCAGATGGAAGCAGATTCTTCTGTCTTATCATGGGTACTCTTGAAGCCCAACCAGCAACTATTGAGTTACGCCTTGGAACATGCACAATACATCCTTAAGATTTTCTTTTTTATATTTACAGAAGTTCTTAATGATTTTATTTCCTAAATAATCTTGTATATCATTTGAGGGAAGCTGATATCTGTGTAGCAGAAATGTGGCAACCTGGAATACTGCATGAGGAAATGACGTGACACAAATTCAACTCTATGTACAGAGTCATTAACCTCTCATTATAAGATTTAACTTCTGCTGAAAATCCAGTGCATACTTAAAAATAGCTTCTTATATGAAACTCACTTTAGTTGACATTGTAGATGAAAATCTCTGTGCAAAACTACAGAGGTTATGACTGCTTACCAGCTTAAGTACTCTCATTCATTAAATGACAGTAGAAGAGATCTGAGAACTACTCCAGCTGAAGTGCCAAATTCCCCTGCTAGAAATTGTGCTTCAGTGAAACCAAAAATGGTAAGTAGCTTTTCCTTTATGATACAGAAAAGTAGTCTGTGGTTTTACCTGCAGGGGCCTCAAACTGTGCGTGAAAAGGAATTGTGGCACTCCAGGTCAAAGTGGGGAGGAAGACCTAGTGGCTCCAAGTGACCACTGCTTAGGGCTGCCAAACGAGTGTTTTCCTTCCCTTTGGAGGGAACTCAGTGAGGCTGCTGGGGCAAATACAGTAAATATACATATATAAAGGCCTTTAGCTGCAGAAAAGAGGGGACAGATTCTTTAGCAGTCAGTTATAATAGAACAAGGGAAATGGCTTCAAGCTTAAAGAGGGTAGATTTAGGTTAAATATAAGGAAAAAGTCTTTTACAGTGAGGTTGGTGAGGCACCAGAACAGGTGTGTGGTTGATGCCCCATCCCTGGAGATTTTCAAGGCTAGGCGGGATAAGACCCTGGGCAACCTGATCCAGCTGTGGTGTCCCTTATCACTGCAGGGGAGTTGGACTAGGTGACCTTTAAAAGACCCTTCCAACTCTAAGGATTCTATAAAATGCTATTCATAGAATAGAATCATAAGGTTCATTAACAGCGTCTTAGTAGGCATGTGATTATCTAGCACTGGAAGATTTCTCAATCTAGATTTTGCAAAAGAGTCAAGTGGAATTGATTGAAAGCAGAAAGTGTGAAGCAATATTAAAGTTATGCATTGACTCCACGTAACACCATGCTATATGTCTGCAATAATTAGTGACAAGATGCATGCCCAGTCACAGAAAATGAGAAAAATTAGAGCATGAATTGTGACTCAGTGGTGTCACTGTTCTGGAGAGTTTAAACTCAGATTGGCAAGAGACTTTCATATCTAACAGAATAATCGAATGATTTTATTATTTTAAATAAAGACAACTGTAGCATTATTTTGATTCCTTGCACTGAAGGAAAACATAAATATGATATAAGTTGACATCGTGACATTAGGAGTCACAAACATAAGAATATAGGAACTTCTCCACCAGCACCATGCCTAAGGTCATCTTATCAGCAAGCTGCAGTGGGACCTCACGGACACTGCATAGAGGCATGCCCAACCAGCAGCTTACAAGTTTCTAAACCAAGAGTTGAATTTGGTTCAACGGGCTCTGTAAACGCCAAAGGAGCTACATACTGATGCATTTCTGCAAAAATGAGCCTCAGAATTTAATTGTAAATTTTACAGGAAAGTAATTCCTTTTATCAGTTTTAATCCTGCCATTAATTTTACTGAATACATCTCATACTGCAAGAAATAATCCTTCACTTTACTAATCATGGTCTTACAGCTCAGTATTGTAACATTCATTGCATTCTCTTTTCCAAATGGAAGAACTGCAATCTACTTAATATTTTATTGCAAAACTAAAAGAAAAAGAGACAAAATGAGTACTTCAGAAAGCCTCTGAATTTATCCCTGATTAAAATACTGTAGAATAGAATGTGAAAAGGAGTAAGAAACTAAACTCAACATCATAACCCCCCAAAAAAAACAATTCAAGAGTTTTAACAGTAGAATTTTAAATTGCAGATAGACCCTATGAAAAAGCATTTTCAGCACCTGTATGAGGTTCCTATGACTGTTTTTCCTTCTGACTTTAAGGAGCCTGCCAGAATTTATTCATAATCACCTTGCTGCATAGATCATGAGCTCTCAATTGATGTTAAGGTTCAGAGATAAATGCCAAACAGGTCTTCTGGGTGCTGAGTGCACAGGAGACAACAGAGAGGAGTTGCAAAATGCCTTCTTATGAATACCAGTGGATATTTTAAAAGTGCCTGAACCAATTAAGCTAGGACAAAACTTTGGGTCAGTGATACTGACATGGCTTTAAAATGCTGTGATGTCCTGTTCTCACAACAGGAAATGAAGAAAAAATACTCTTCAGATGTTCATTTAAATTTTATCCCATGTATATCTCAGGGGGAAGAAAAGGCTTTGGAACTTGTTGACTGTAGTTGCCTCAAGTGCAAGATTCCAAAAGAAAGGATCTTTTCTTTACAAGGCAGTGAGCTGCCATATAGTGATAATTCTGATGAGGTGGGTGCTGCAGGGTACCATCAGATTGCATCTGCATGGACCATATAGGCTATAGATCGCACTAGGAGACAATTAAAGAGTGAATTTAAACTGAAAGATTGAACATACTTTCATGTTTCACTAAAGAAGCATTATTTCATCGTTCCTCAACATTTCTTTTAATTCTAGAAAGTTGAACATTTCCTTCCATATCTGATTGGATTATTTTTAATTGTTGAATTTTATTTTCAGATAAATTAAAAGTTATTTTAAAGACCAGTCCTCTCATTTTGAGGAAAATACTGCATTTACCTGTTTTTCTCCTTCTGAAAGCCTTATTCAAATACAAAGGTGAAGATGAAGCTCCAGGCTTTGCTCTTAAAACTGCTGCTCTGTCATTACTTGTTTGATGCACAGACATGATAAAACTCTTTGATGTAGCTTTGATGAGTTCCAAATGTACATGCAAGCAAAATGAGTGTTGCTTCAAAGCAGAAATTCTTCCAGTTCTTTTTCTCATCTGAAACAGATGAGAACTACTTAAAATGAAAGAAAAATGGGAGAATTTGTACTTGGAAGAGAACAATGTTTGAAGATACATTTTGTTATGTTTACTTGGGGTCTGGTTCTACAATGATCTGTTTGTTAGAACAAAATTCTTGTATTCAAGTGCTATTTGGTTGCAAAGATGTTTCCACATCAATCTTCTATATCATATATTACAAATATACAGTTGTGGTTTTTTTTTTTTTTTTTTTTTTTTTTTTAAATCACTCCTTGTTAGTCCCTGGTTGAGGATCACACTTCTGTCCTTGCAAGAGAAACACCCAGTGGTTTGAACAAGGAAGTGCAAATCCAGATCTGCAGCTATACCATCTGCTACCGATTTGCTCTTGACTCATCGTGTAAATGAGGTCACACTCCTAAGTACACACATTAAGAAAATGTGTGGCAGGACTTTTCATCTGTACTAATACTTCACAAGCACATTGACATCTACAGACTGTGAACAACCTCAGATAACGTGTAGTTGCCAAAACACATCACACAGAATGAAAAAGTTCTGATTTTAGCTTGTGTATACACATGAAACACTCTGATCAGCCATGCAGAATCTGAAGTCCTGAAAAATCTAGGATTCTAACATCACAACTTATATGGGGGGGAGGGAGGGATAAAGCAGGGATGAAAAGGAGATATTCTACTTGATAAATCACTTTAATACATTTGAAGGGAATTTGTCTCCCAAGCCTAAAGACAAAACAACTTTTAAATCAACAGCTAAGCTAAAACAATCTGCTCTATGCATTGAGATGTTAATTGAAGAACATATTTCTGTTAAGACAGTCTAACCTGTGGCAGGAAACTGTAGGGCACTATAGAAAAACATCATCTCAACAGACCATTACTTGGCTCAGCTGTAATTACTACTCAGTATTCACTATAATGAAATCAACACCAGATTATGCCATCAATCACGTTTACCACTTTGCTTTCTCTGCCCACTGGCTGAAATACAACACTTTGTGCCTGCATTACACTCATGTAACTCATGATGGTTTTGATTGGTGAGTGAGTAGTTGGATAGGTGCTTTAGGGATGGTCCAACAAAAGTCAGTTGGAAGTTTTTCAGTAGAACACTGAAACTTGATGGAACACAAACTTGATGAAAAGTTTATTCTGGAAATCCAAAGTTTTCGGAACA